CATATTTGGACGTAATTTTTTTGGAAAAGTGGACGTGGCCCCGCCCCTACTAACTGTATTGTACATATCTCGAAAACTACTATAGCTATGTCAACCAAACTGTATAGAGTTGTTTCTTTTAGGCATTTCCATATACAGTTCTAAAATGGAAGAAATCGGATAATAACCACGCCCACCTCCCATACAAAGGTTATGTTGAAAATCACTAAAAGTGCGTTAAAGGGCTAACAAAAAACGTCAGAAACACTAAATTTTACGGAAGAAATGTCAGAAGGAAGCTGCATCCAGGCTTTTTTAAAAAATTTAAAATGGCCCATTTATGGACTAAAAAAAATATCTCAGGAAGTACTCAACCGATTTCAATGAAATTCGGTATATAGTATTTTCTTAACACCCTGATGACATGTACCAAATATGGGTGAAATCGGTTCACAACCACTCCTGAAATCTCGATTATCACTTTATCATGCGAGAGTATAAAATGTTCGGTGACACCCGAACTTAACCCTTCCTTACTTGTTAAAATTAAATTTAATACTTTTAGAAACACCAAAAGCTCGATTTATCATAATAAAATTTTGGAATTGAAAAGCATTTTTTTATTAGCACTAACAGCTGGCAACCCTGCTTATGGCATTTCGATTATTTGTGCTCTAGTTTTTTCAACTGGCCTTTGGGTTGAACGACTTTTATGAAATTTTTTATAAAAAAATGTTTTATTGTTTAATGTACATATATACCTGTAGAAGTTGGCAACTCTACTTAAGTATTTTTTATATTTTTCTTATTACTACTTTTATTTTTTTAATCTAGAAGTTCTTGCAAATACTTCTAAAATAGCTTCCATATCTTATAATTAAGGCATATGATTTCCAGTTCAGTTGGCAACTCTTAAAAAAATCCTATCTATCCTAATTTTAAAGCAACACCCTTTCAATACCACATATAAATGCTGAAAATATTTTCGGTTTATTACACAAATAACAGTCTTAGATGTTTTAATTTCGCTTTAAAATGGTGGCAACACTGTTTATTTCCTTCTTTTCTTTAATTTAAGAGTTTTTGAGTATAGTATTCTTAAATACCTTCAATTTCTCAAACATTTTATTTTACTTTATTGACACACTGATATTAATTCTAATTTACAAATGGCTGGCAACTCTTTTCAAAACTTCCAAACTAAAAACCAGCTTTTTATCGATTCGTTAAAGCTTTGCTGAAAGTGCTTGCTGATTAATAACCACTTGATAGCATTTTATGTAATAATTTTAATATTCAGCCAGGTGGCAATACTAGCTGCACAAATTTTTTAGCAATGCTTTTCAATATACTTCTCAAAGTCCTTCCATTTGCTATAACTATGTTTTTTTTTTTTTTGTGTATTTTTTTCAGATAGGTGGTAACGCCATCTCTTTTATATGCTATTAATAAACTTTCATATTTAACACATTAATTTACAAATTTGAGCGTTTCATAAAAAATTTAGCTTGAAAGTTTTAATTCGCTTATTTCAAAACATTTCTAACAACCCTAATGTGCATAGCGSTGAACGGACAGCTGCGTTTCGTTTGCTTGCTTCGTCTAACAGTAACGCACCTGCATAATTTCTACAACAACAAAAACAAAATCCAATGAGTTGTAAGCTATCAAACACCCCGCTATGTTTTTTTCTTGTTTTTGCAACAACAACTGCCGGTTTTTAGGAAATTTTGTGAGCCACCCTCTCTCCAAATGAAAAGCCTAGGTCTTGACATTGAAATGCAGCCGGTTAACAAGCCTACAAACTGCATGGGGTAGCTGAAAAAGTAAAGCTCAAAAAGAGTTGCATGCAAAAACGAAWGCAACAACTACAACAACATTAGCAGGGAGTGCACAAGAACTTCGCATGAAAGGCGCGTTTCGAGATCGCCGACCGGACGGACAAACGCGTGCATTGGACAAGTGAGCAAGCTGGCTGTGACAAACGCTGCAAATGCAATGCGCTCGCATTTATTTTTATATGCGCTCTGCCGACAAGCGAAAAWAGCTTAAGTCGATTTTATGAAGTTCTAAAATTCGCCGCTTTAAGGTGTGATATTTGTGTCTCAAATGAGATAGAAGTCTATATTAGCGTAGCTAAAAATTAAATTTACTTTCGTAACATTTAAAGCATTTTATTTTTGCACAAGAAATGCATAATTAAAGCAAAATTCGCGATTAACTGCAAACTTAAGTTTGGCTGTTTTTCCTTTCATGTCACAGCAAAGTATTTGTTGTAGCGCTGTTGCTGTGCCGCTATGGCGTTGTGCAATTTSGTTGGTCATGTATTTAACGGTTATAGCGGTACATAAGCACTTGCACTTTGAGTGCTTGCACAGCTGAATTGAAATTGAAAATTGCTCGCGCAATTATTCGCAAACACGCAAGTCCTTCTTAGCCGCACTTGCGAAAATTTTTTGCGAATGAATTATGCACTGGAGAAATTGAATTATTTGTAAATATTAAAGTGTGCAATGGCAATGTGTTGAAGTGCAACGATTTGCCGATAGATACCCGCAATGTGTGTGTRTGCATGTGCGCATGCAGGAGTGATGTGTTGTATGCAGAGAGCTTCGAAGCTTTGTAGGCAGTTGAAATTTTTTGTATATTTTTCTTAAAGGAATTTGGTAGTAAAATTAGAAAGCATTGAGTTTGCAGAAACTTAGTGTTCCACAATAGAGCTTTTTTGGTAAAAGAAATTTTGTTTATGTCTTGGAGCAGAAGAATAATCATCTTGGTTTTTACTTCATCTTGGATGGACTGTATATTTATATCGATTGGAGGCGCAGTCTTCTTGAAAATTTACTGTTTGTTGAAAATTGAATAGTAAATTCGAGCATGTTCTACACTAAAGGGCTTTTCAAAAGCTTTAGT